CGGGCATTTTTTTTATTTTCCTTAAAATAAATGTCAATCCTAGCACATCAATCTAGCCCTGCAAAAGGTATTATCTTTATGATACTGCCAAGTGGTTTAATATTACTGCTCTAATATAGACATTTATAGTCGATCTTTATAGAATTTTCAGTATTTCATAGCCTTTGTGTAGCATACACCAATCGTCTACAATGGCGGAGCTATACGCAGAGGTGGCAGATGAGGAGCGGCGACTCGAGCGCGGGCCATCGCAACGTCAGTACTGGGACCGCAAAACGTACTCATCGTTCGACGAGCAGCAGCGTTCCATAGAGCGTTCGAGCACGCTGTATGTAGGAAATCTGTCGTTCTTCACTTCCGAGGCGCAGATTTACGAGCTATTTAGTCGCGTTGGTTACGTTAAACGCGTCATCATGGGTCTCGACCGCTTCAAAAAAACTCCTTGTGGATTTTGCTTTGTTGAGTACAGCAAGAACGTTGAGGCTAAGGCGTGTGCGCAGTTTTTAAGCGAGACCAAACTGGATAATCGCGTGGTGCGTTGCGAAATGGATGGAGGCTTTCGTGAAGGCCGCCAGTATGGCCGCGGCCTGTCAGGCGGACAGGTACGTGATGACAGACGGTCTAAGGATGATTATGACGCCGGGCGAGGTGGCTATGGTCGTGGAGACGATGCCACACTTGACGACCACCACTTTCGTCGCTCTTCCCACGCAAAAAGGCCTCGTTATGACTCCTCAGCGATGGATGGTCCGCCCCCAAGTCGTCAGCGACGCCCTGACTCACCCGTAGACGAGAATGAGGAGGAAGAAAACCCACGATTTCGTCGTCGGGAAATTGAAGCAGATGGAGGTGATGATGAGCTTGTGGAAGATCAGCCGACAGAACAGCCCGAGACTATGGAAGCGTAAGCTTGTTGAAACAAAGATTAAGCATTTGGTGGAGGATATCTCAATTGTGGCTGAAAAATTGCAGTACCTTGCGTTGGTGAATATACAAAGGGCTCATGTGTCCTACAAAAATAATATGACTGATTTTAAAATCACGATTTCTGTGTTGTGCACTCGAAGAATATCTGAATGCCTTGATTTTGATAAGCAAACGAAATTGATATCACTAGGTTGGGATACAAAATCTCCACAAACAAAACTCTACCTTCTTTTGGATGCTCGCAACATCACTTGTTTACTCTTCCACATCATGACTCAACTTCTGGTACGTGTTGCTCCACTCGTAGAGTATCCTATGGAATCCATCCATATATTTATGGGAAGGTTTTGTGCTTCTGGCAAAAGCCAAAGCCATGTTTTTGAAACCAAATGAGCCGCAAAGCTTCTCCTAGATCCATTCACACCTTTCCAAGTGCTCACTGGGACTGCAATAAACAATAGAGAAATGATTAATTCACAACGATCTACGATATTTCACGCCAAGCCAGATGCCACTAGGTCTCGATTGTCTCTGCTCGAATATGTATGGGCATTAAACTATCTGGTGTGGCTTTTTTGTAGATAGTTTAAGTCAAGGCGTGGTCGGCCAACTAACCCTGTAATACGACTTGCCGTTTAGACGAGTATTTTTCGTTGACGGAATTGTTTGCGATTGCTTACGGCAGGATGGTTGACTCAGTGCATGTTAAGGCCCGAATACTGTCTAAAAATGTTTTGACTACGGAAAATTTTCCGAGGGACCTTGAATCTGCATAACGGAGCATCGATTAAGCAACCATGTGCACGTTTAAGAAAGTGTATGTACAACAGCGCAGTTGTTAATCAAAGAAGGCCACCACGTATAATTCATGTGAATAACTCCCATGGCGTTACGGATATTGAAATCTGAAAAAGCGGATTCTCAATTAAATCGACCCGAATCTAAGAGCACAAGACTTGTGCTGTGAGTGTAGAATAAATAGTTAATAAAGTTGCGCTTTAAGATTTTATGTGCTACTTGTGTCATAGTTTGAGCATCGAGATAGTTAAGAGACGTGTTTTACAAAGTAACATACGACATACATGCACAGGCTGAAAAGTGAGTAGTGCCAATTTGTCATCTCCGAGTTGATGCAATACAAGTTTTGTTGAGACGTACGATGTGAATGCTACACTAACCGACACCGACGATTACAAGCGCTATTCCATGCTATGTTCCGTTGTTAACCCTTGCTAATGTTGTTTTAAAATTTCTGTTAATGCAGGAATATCTGAGCCAGATGCAATTGACGCTTTAGTCTATTTCTTGACAGACTGACAAAGTTTGATCACATCTTTTGCCTAAATCATTTAAGGAATCGATGGAGCAGTTGCTTGTCTGCTAGCGGTATAAAATCGGTAAAGATTGATATAAAAATCTCGATACCCAACTATATTTTTAACAAGTCTTAATAATCTAAGAATCAAATCCCCAAATTTTATTTGCAAGAAACATTACAAAAAATGCAGGTAGATGCAATATTATTTTGATTGAATTAGAGCCTGTGGCTTCATGTGCAATGCTACATGTATTGCACATGAAGCTCTTTAGTTAAAAAGTATATGAGAGTGCTATTATTATGGTTCTGTCGAGGTGCCGAACTCGGCCTCAATTTCAAGCTAGCTCGAAAGCTGTTTCAGAAATGCACTAAAGAGTATTTCCTATCCACCAGGTCATGGTAATCCCTTCGCTATCAAACAGTACTGGACTGGGAAACATATTCTTACAGCACAAAATAAAAGTGCTCAATAAAACGTTAAATCATGCATTCGCTTTAATATTGCCATTCCAAATAACACATAGCTTGGGGTTCGTGACGAATCTTCTAAAGCTCCTCATCGAAGAGAAACTTAGTATCAATTGACGCTACACTACTGCAGTCAAAAAATGCGACTGTAAAAGAGTAAATCCTTTGCGTTACGCAGATACACGAAAGTCTATATGTATGTGATTACAACGCATTAAGCTTCGGCGGACAGCCATTGCGGTGGTTGTGTTTTTTTAAGTGTGAGCGCCTGTTGAAAATATTCAAATGTTTGAAGCTCCACCAGTAGTGTTGTCTCAACGATTAGGCTCGCGTCCCCGTTTGACTGCGTTTTATCATGCTTTATAACTCTGCTGGAAGCTCGAAGTTTGTACTTCTTGATAAAACGCGCTGGTACGAACATGCATCAATTTAATTATCAGCTCAAAGTCTATTTGTGTGCGTATAGATACGAGGTTTACTTTTCAAAAGCAGTTACCGTTCATCCCTCGAAAGCTCTAGCAAGAGACAGTGATCTAAGAGAATATCCACACATCAGCGTTTGCTGCTCTTAAAGGAAAATCGTGTAGCGGGGCTGCCGTAGCTCTTTGCTAAAGGAGCTAAGCTAGGGTCACCGACCTTACGTTCTATACTAGTACCAGTACGAGTGTAGCGGATCGCAATCCGCTGTACTCAAAACTTAATTCAACGCTCTTCCATCCATAACCAAACTGTATTTAATATGCGGCAGAGCAGCCTATATCTAACTCTATATGTTTTGCTAATTTAATAGCAAAACTTAGTCAATTGAAAATCCCGCCACGTAGTGGATTCGTGTTAAGGTTTAGCCACACCATTGTGTGATCACATCATCTTGTGCGACCCACCCTCTTATACTAGGGTACGTTTAATCCCGTTACAAACCGGATTAGCTAATTTTGTTGCCTCTTGGCACGATATGGTGAATTCACTTCAGCTTATTTCCTAGGTAGCCAGGAGCGGATGGGGTGGCGTAAGTAAAGCTCGGAGGGGCAAAGAGAGGAGAGACATTGTCAAACGAGAGAAATGCCTGTTATCATTACATTTAAGGTGAACCCGACCGATATAACGGAATTATGTCGGTGCCAAAGACACACTTGTCTAGATTGATGGATAAAATATTTGTGTGATCTCGTGATGTCATCAACATTTGAAAGTATGTGCAAGTGTTTCAACTACAGAAGAGAACACCGAGTAATGAAGCTTTTTATCAGAAAAACAAGCAGTGAAATATTTGAAGGCAAGATGTGCACTTTATGATGCCGCTCACGTGCATCACTGCTTTTGAAGGATTGCCTAAGAGCTCGTTTGCACTCTTTGTGGCTATCAACCATGCGACTTGTAGCGGGGCGTACCTGCTTCATCAAGGTTTTTTATATTTGAGTACTTTCTCAAAAACGACATTTTACAAGAAACATCAAGAAATTGTCGTTGATTTATGCAGACACTTTCAAAATAAACTGTCTGAATATATATGTGTCGTCATAAAAGTATACTTGATGAGCATAAATGTGCTCAGGCAAAACTGTATTCTTACGACAAGGATCTTTAGAATTTACAACTATTGGCTGCATTGTGTAAGAAGATCCCGAGATCACACTTCACAAAGTAGCTTCAATGTCACGCCAGATGGTGGACATGCACGTATTCAGCGCAGAAGATGAAATTTAACATGTTTTTTATCAGGTATTTTGGCTCACCGCGTCGGCAACTCAAGATTCAATTAGTCATCCTTCGATCTCCATTAAAATTGCCAAATCAAAGTTTTATCTAAAATGCCCACACGCTTCCAAAGCTCTAACCTAGACGTGATATTTTAGGATATTGAATACTTCTCGTAGGAGTCAACGTCTGAATAGCACTGGACGAGAAGAGACGACAAGCTTACATCGCCACCATAAAGCCAAAGAGTCGCAACGCGCTGTCAGCTCAGCATCACGATGTTGTTTTCTTATAGTGTTGATGGCTGACGAACCAAGGAATACGAATATGACAAAGTCAATTTGTCTACCATCTCTCTTGCTTTAGATGATCTCGCTACTGCCATGGAAGTTGGTGCAAACGGGTGATGAACATCGCTCGATCTGTAACAGATGTAAGACATTCAGCACAAGACGGTGTTACTCTTGTAGTGTTGATGGCTGACGAACCAAGGAATACGAATATGACAAAGTCAATTTGTCTACCATCTCTCTTTCTACAGATGCTCTCGCTACTGCCATGGAAGCTGGTGCAAACGGGTGATGAACATCGCTCGATCTGTAACAGATGTAAGACATTCAGCAC